ACACCTTTTAAAACATTTTTTAAAAAGACAAATTTTAAATATGTGTTGCAGTTTAGGACAGATATAACGAGACGGTTCTGCTTAAGTTTTGGACACTGACTTTTGTTTTATAGATTCAGCCCATTAACCAAGCTTGCAAGCCACATCTGATAACTTGGTTGTTATAGGAAGGGCATGTCAAAAGTAGGTTCTTTTATTTTAAACATTACAGTAATTAGAAACAAACATCACAGAGCCTGGCTGCAATAGTTATAGCTAGAAATTGATTTGCTGGAAAGTGAACCAAGAGTCTTGGAAGTAGAAGGAACAAAGAGAAATTGTGAGCTGCATTGATAGTGGGAGATTGGACCTCTGAAATTAATCCATTTTGAGTTTTTTAAACATTTCCGTGGTCAAAATGGTTCAAGTTCCTAAATTAAATGTAGGATTTGGATTAGCTGCAAACGTTTGCCCCGATGAACTGTAGCTCAGTCCATGGTAGATGGTAAAATAAATACATCAAAAGTGTAGATGTTCTTTCACTTAAGCAAACTGTATATTATATTTGTAATGAAATATATTAGAAAACCATTTTCTCTTTAAAAAATAATCTTTGAAGGCACCGTACACCGAGTGCTCAACAAGCACTCCTCATAGATACACTGAAAAGCTGACGCGTCGTCTGAATTAACTCGTGAGATTATGGTTCTGAGATAAGGGTCTCCCTTTATCTCACTTTCCATTTCACCCCCCCTCGTGTGCTCACACATCAAATGTGTGTTGGCAGACCAGAACTCTGTGATCCAGTTAATGGATTTTAACACTGAGGTGTGCTGCTGACAGCAACAGGATCCACCCATGTGAACGTCAGCTACAGACGAGAGAAATAAATACCCTAAAATAAGACTACTGTGTGAAACTGTTCTGAACTTGTAGCTCACATCTTGTCAAGAAAAAAAAATCACATGGTTTTGCTTTAAATATTTAACAAGTGGCTGAAAATTGGATGATAGCACTTCAAATATGCATCCGACAGAGCGGAACAGCCTGTAACTTTCAGTCAGGTGTCTCCCATATGCTTGAAAGCTGTGAGTCATAGATGTGTGTCCGGGTGTCAGAGCTTTTTCTTGTGTGATTGCTTGGTCCTGGAAGAACAGAATTCTCCTCAGCAGCTACTTAATTCTAATGAGGGTTTTATGACTCGTGATCAAGAGCTCACTGGCAACGCATTCAGTCAATAGTGCCTTCTCTTTTGAGCACAGCCTCGGCTTATGTACCGGCCCCAGCAAATTGACCCAGAGATTTATACAGCTATTTTCTAAAGGTCTCCATTCATGGGCCCACAGTCAGGAAGGGGAATTAGTGTTTCAATGGATTTCACTTTCAATTTGAATGCCGAGTGGTTGGAACATGGTCCCGGCTAACGGGAGGCCATTGCTAAAGAACTCTTTTGTGTTCTGCTACTCAGAGGCTCAAACCCTCGGGGCTGTGAATACATTCACCACAAGAGACACCGTTTCTACTGCCATAGGTTGTGAATCCTGTGGGTTTATCTAGCCTTTAGTGAAACCAACACATTGAGGATGCCCTTTAAACTAGCACTACCATTAGTCAGCTTCCTTTTTCTTTTCAGATGAATGTGCACACAACAAACCTCTAGGACAGAAGTTTCTACTGTCCAGGTATGATAACAATAATAAAATTTGCTATTAAAGCTGCTTTAACATGTCAACTGCTATACTGTCCACATGTAGCACACAATCTATATGTGCTTGTGTATTGGAATACATAAAATAATACTTTTGTTTGAGACCTGGGTGCTGTCTAATAGTGTAGAAGACCACTTGATAGACATGACTTCACCAGACTATTACACTTAGCTATTAGCTACTACTTTAGCCAGTCCAATGTGATGGTTTTGAACATTGGATTCTCATTTACCAGATAATAGCTAGATAATATCTAGAAATGTTCAGAGTCACAGCATGTGTGACAACAGCTTTTAATGTTGCAGTGAAACATAAAGCACTCTTTTGAACTGAAGTCTGACGTCATTAGCCGTTTCCGGGTCCAAACTCCACTTCAGGTCCCAAAGTCAAACGATCACTGCAGCATCACTGAGAGTTAAAAACTGTCTAAATTCTTTTATCTTTAATGAAAAGATCGGTGTGGCTGCCCTGCCAGGTGTAACAGTTAAGTTTAACATCCAGGCATCCATGAAAACAGAATGTATTCAATTTAACGGAGTTAGCAGTTAGCGGGGAGTTAGCCCACTAGTTTCCATCTAAAGATGATATACCATGTTCTGACTGAGGGATTTCTGAAGAAATTAAAACGTACAGCTCTGCTATCACTTCTAACATAAACGAAGACAGGAAACTAAACAGCAGTGACTTTTATAGGCTTACTGAAGTTGGGCTAGCTGGTATATAATGATGTGCTACATGGTGGCTAGCGACACAGCTATGGTTAGCATAATATAAACACAGGAGGATGAACGCTAACTATTTCCCACTTGATAAAAGCTAATGTGAGGGTTCCCGATGGTTAAGGACAAATGCTATCGCATGCCAGGATGCTGTAAACGGAGCAAACTTCAATCAGGACAACTGAGATAATCCATCCACAATAGAGGTTAGTCATTAATATACTGCTGCATGGGCTGGGCTGTAGTTAGACCGTAAGGTTTTTAAAAACTGAGCTTTAAAATGAATAGTGGTACCAAAAACCGAGAGGCCGACAGTGATCACTGCTCTTTGTTAGGGAGTGTTCAGATTAAATAGAACAAGATACAAAGCATTAAAACATGTAAAACACAACAGCCTTAATAAACACAGAGTAGTTTGGTCCCGGAAGCAGGGTTCATACGTCATCACTTAAAGACCAGATATTAACACGCATTAGTTCTTTTTAGCACACAATGTAAGTATGCAACTGAATGCTATTTACTATTACACAAACATTGGGAGGTTAAAAAAAAGTAATACTAAAAACTTTGACCTAGTGTTCTAGCATAAAGTTCTGTGTGTCAACACTTGCTTATCGTCTTTCAACAAAACAATATTTGACTATGCAGTCAAATGAAAACACTTCTGAAAGCTTGTTTGAGTTAAAGATACCAAGACAGTGAAGACTGAAACACTCGAGTCTTCAAAATGGGTTTACAGAAATCAGAGGGTAATGTCACATCTTACAGTCTTGCCTCATTTCTTTATATTTTGCTTCCAAGCAGCCAGACTTTGCTGTAATTTTGTACGACTTTGTTGAGCAGTAGTTCTCCAGGCTTTCAGAAAGTTTGCTTAAGTTTTTAAGTGGACATGTGGCTGCTTTTTCTCAGATTTTCTCTCCAAAATAACAATTTGTTCCCATTCGTATAGTTAAATCCATGAAAAATCTCAAGGATAACAAGACAGGCATAAAACTTTATTTTTGCACCAAAAGGGAATTCCCAAAGAGATATTAGCTGCAAACTTGACAAATCTCAGCATGGTGTGCAGTGTGTCCTTAAAAAAAGACAAAACTGAACAAGCGGAGGAGAAAAGAGGAAGAAGATAACCTAAAAACCCATCTACAGCAGATGATCAGTATCTGAAAGTGATGTCTGTAAGAAATGAAAAAAAGCAAAGACTTGACACGGACCTTTGGTATACAGCAGATTGAATATTCATTGTTGAGATTTATTCATGCTGATAAATGACTGTTTAAAGGTAAATAAACAATCCTTGTGGAAAAAAGGATTTCAGAGTTTAGGAAACGATTTCGTTGTTAATCTATCATAAGGGATTCTTTATTTTTACAACAAACACTGTCTTATTGATGCATTTTAACTCAAATCAGCTCATTATTGATTTTCCCACCAAAAGTTAAAATGTTCCATGACAAATTGGATGATACAGTTCATTCCATTCATTTTGTGTTAAATTTCTTATCCAGTTTAACATTATAGTCAAAGGGCAGCAGCCACAAACAGACAGCAGTGGCAGAAAAGTGATCATCCTGCAGTGACCTTATCTCCTGCTGACATCCACAACCCAGGGCAGGCGGTGGTTGGATGGGTGACATTATAACTCAGCACTAGCCCTCAGCCAACTCTTACAAGTTCTCCAGTTCATTTATTAGCAGTCTGACAGTTTAGTGTCACAGTGTGGCTCTCTGGAGAAGATGTAAGCTGTCACAGTTCAGAGAATCATGGCCAGCCATCCAACAATCATAGCTACGCCCCCCACGGGAGCCGCTTTGCGCAGTCCGGGGTCCCCTGTCAGAGCCTGGTGGTATAAAGAGCCACAGAACATCCCCATGCCCGCAATCAGAAGGCTACCAGCCTGTGAAAAAGAAACATTTTGGTCTCAGTCAGTTTAAATCTGTAAGTTTGCAAACACATTGTAGTAGGGCTGCCATGTACTCTCCAACCTCTCTTGCTTGAGACTCGCCCTTGCTTGAGATGTTACCCCACAGGGACCAGCAAAAAGGAGTTTTTTGTTTGTTTGTTTGTTTTGCAAGAAAAGTTAAAAGCATTAAAAGCAAACCATTATTTAGAGTCAGCCTTCTTAAATTATACTTATATTATAATATCATCCTATAATATAATTAAATAATATCAGCTTACTTAAAAATTGATGCATCTTATTAGCCTTGCATTGTTAGCTAATATAGCTAATTATCTTATTAGTATAATAGAGTATGCTATTATTAGCCCACTATTCAGTTAGCCAGTGCATGCTATTATCCCACAAATATGCTATTGGCTAACATAATTTAACAGTTTATGTTACATCAGCTAATTTAAAATATTAGCATGCTTCTTATCATAAGAAAACATATCCAGTCGTTAAGTGATGACGTGACGAATCCTACTTCCGGGCCTAAAGTAGTCTGCTTTAATATGGCTTTTGTGTTGTTAACATGTCTAATGTTTTGTATTTTCTTCTATTTAATCTCAAAAAGCTCCTAAAACAGTCAGTGATCACTGTTGACCTCCCTCGGCTTTTATTACCGCTAATCATTTATTTAAGATCAGGATGCAACTACAGCCCAGCCCATGCAGCAGTATATGAATAACTAACCTCGTATTGTGGATGGATTATCTCAGTTGTTCTCCTGGCTGAAGTTTGGTCCTTTTACAGCATCCTGCCATGCGATTACATTTGTTCCTGACCACCGAGAACACTCACGTTAACTTTTATCGAGTGGAAAAAAGTTAGCTTGTTTATATTATGCTAACATAGCTCTGTCGCTAGCGGTCACGTAGCACATCATTATATACCAGCTAGCCCAACTTCAGTAACCCTACAAACATCACTGCTGTTTAGCTTTCTGTCTTCATTTATGTTGGAAGTGATAACAGAGCTGTACGTCTTAATTTGTTTCCAAAACCCTGCAATCAGGACATGCTATATTGTATTTAGATAGAAGCTAGCGAGCTAACTCCCTGCTAACTTCTAACTCCGTTAAATGTCATAAATTCCGTTTTCATGGATGCCTGGATGTTAAACTCATTTGTTACACCTGGTAGAGAAGAACGCTGATCATTTTATTAAAGATGAAAGACTTTAGACAGTTTTTCAACTCTCAGTAATGCCATAGTGATCGTTTGATATATGGACCGGCACTGGAGTTTAGGCCCAGACACGGCTAGTGACGTCAGACTTTACGACCGGATTAGCCAGCACATCTTGTTAGCTTGACTGTAAGTTTGCTAATTTATCTCAATAGCCTACCATTAAATTCAACAATGTACCTTATTATCCTATTGATTCATATTATTAGCAAACATTAGCCTACTACAGTACGTCATTTCCTAACATAATTTATTAGCCCATCATTCAGTTAGCTAATGTAGCTTATTAGCTTACTATCACATTACACACATTAAAGTATCTTATCAGCAGAATAACGCATGTTATTGAGTATCATTACTTATGATTAATGAGTCATTTTATCTCATTAGCTTAATATTTATGCCCATTTTGACACACAACACAACTCGAGTGAGCAGGTTTAGTAACTTTATAGATGGACACCTTAAACAGGTGTAAACAATAAAAACTCTTGCTCACTGTATCGGACTGACTCCAAAGCTGGTTCATAGATTTTATTTAATCCAAATTAATAACTCCACAGTTTTTACCCATTTATTGTCAACTCATAATAACAACATTATCAGACATGAGACGCAGAGGGACATGCATGAATGCTTAAAAGTACAGATGATGGGGTGGTGACATTTAAGTGAGGAGATTCTTCGGCTACCATTTTTTCTTTCCTGGTTCCATTTGTTGGGATAATGTGTTCTTTCACCGTCAATCCACAACAAATTTATACTTATGCTGTCACTTTTATCATTTATAATGTAATAAAACAGCAGTCTCTGTAACATAATATCTCTGAGTGAGGATGGACAGGTAACAGCAAATACGACTGTGGCACTATATGCACTTTAAAGGATTGAGCTAAGTGCATCCAGCCAAGAGTGAGGGTCTTAGGCTTCTGTACTTACCACAGCAGGTTTCCCACAGTGGGCAGCACCCAGCAAGGCCAGGCTGTGGTAGAAATGGTACTTGTTGGCGGTTTCAAAAAGCTGAAGAGGCACACACACACACACACACACACACACACACACAGAGCTTTCAGAAAAAACGCCTTTCCCAGCCACTCATCAAGTTTAGTGAATCAAACATTTTCTGGAAAGGCCTTTTATTATCAAGTGTAGAAGTGGATATTTAGTGAGCCGCTATCAAACACCATTTACACCATTCTCATGAATCAGCCCAAGTTCGGCCAGGAAAGTATCTCATCATTAAAAACAAATCGTTTTCCTGTCTTTTTGCATTACAGAAGTTTCCTCCAGATTAACAGCACAGTGTGAAAATGTTTCACAGACATCTGCCAGTGCGCCCCAGGGTGGCTGTGGCTACAATGTAGCTTGCCATCACCAGTGTGTGAATGTGTGCGTGAATGGGTGGATGACTGGATGTGTAAAGCGCTTTGGGGTCCTTAGGGACTAGTAAAGCGCTATACAAAATACAGGCCATTTACATCTTTTAGATTTCTGAGAGTAAAAGAAATATCAGTCATACAGTCCACTAAACTATAACTGGAGCTGCACCAATTGGGCAGATACACTGATGCTTAAAATACAAATTTGGCCAACAGTAGATGCTGCATTTTTTTAACCCATCTTTCTTTCTTATTTGAATTTGTTACCACTGACTACTTTTTGTGTATAGTACCTTTACGGGTATTTTAAGGTACTCCAGCTTTCTTCCACTTTCCAAAGACATTTTTATCTGGTTCTAGAATAGCTGTTCAGCTAAGACAGGCCCCAGCAGCCCCCTCCACAACAACCTAAGCTCGGTAAGAGGTATTTCAGATGTCACTTCACGTGCCTACATCAATGACAAAGTCACCATGAAGCCATATTTAGCCACCGTTTTAGTGCATCCCAAATTAAATCAGTCTTGAATCCATATGCTCTGACCTTGACCTCTGCTAACACGAATGAATGAAAACTGATTTTAGGCACACAGAATCCTCAAAAAAAACATAAGTAGCAGTATTATGAACATACCACTATTCGGTAGTCATCAGGATCGCTGTTCTTGAAACCTAAAACAAGAAAAACACAACTGTTACTTATTATCACACCATGAATATCATGATCACAGACACAACAGACCACACTTTATTTGGTTAATCAGTAACCCACACCCTCAAGTCATGTTCCTTAATACTCGTGTTGTGATACGGTGGTGAGACCAACCACTCTCTTATCACATTTTAAAAGTTAGCCAACCACTCAGCTATCCCTACCGTGGACAGTGGCTGACCCACAAAAAGCCTTCTTCCACCCTGGAGGCGGGTCACCTTGATTACGACACTGGTTATTTTTACAAAAACAACGTGAAGCTTCGACGGCTTACTGAAAGCCGAATTAATCGTTAGCATGTTTAACATTAGCAGCATGTATGTGTTGTTGCTTTACAGTTACTCGGGCGTGTGGTGAGTACGCAAACTTTAAAACTGCGTGTTTTGATATCAAGGCTGGCGCCGTAAGCCTCAACATGACAGCCTTTCACGACTGTTCAGCTGAGCGAGAGCTACAGACAATAGGACAGTTGCGTACCGTGAGCCCCGTAAGCCCCAGCTCCCACTGCCGAGGCTCCTGACAGAGCTGCTAACCTCCGAACCACAGCAGAAGCGCTCATGTTTGGACTGTAACTGCAGGTGTCACGCGGGCGGAAGAAGTGACGGCGGTGCTGCGTTCACTGTCATTATGTACGTTCAGCCTTCTCAACTACGTGATTGCGGACATACGTAGTTAAATGACGGACTATGGGTTTCCCGCTCATGGGGCAAACAACAAACGATCAAACATTAAGAGAAGAAATGTTTTTTAATTGCATTATGATGTAGTGTAACCACAGTGTTGCAGCTACATGTAAACGGAAAAGTGTGTTGAAACAGATTTGTGTTCTAAAATAACTATAACATACATGCAAGATAAGTAGTCTAAAACGGAAAATATATTGTGCGAACCTGCAGTTATTCCAACTAATATGACACGTGACTTCGGAGTGAAGTCTCTGATATGCTGATGTGTGTTTATTTAATTAGCAATTTGTTCTCTGAATTCCAGCATCTGAGTCCTTGAAAGCAGCAGTGGGGGCGTTCGTTCCAGGGCTCTGGGCTTCCAGGCACATCTGTTATCAGTTTGTGGACTTGAACCAAAATGGCCGCTGCCGTGCTACAGTTTCAAGCCACTGGGCAAATTTCATTACTCTACCAAGCTGATCTGACACTGACATGGCATTTGAGCAGTCGTTTCAGCGCCTTTAGGTATTGCATGTGAATTTAAGTGTAGGGAATCACATACTGCTTGTAATATATTGACGCATTAACTGAAGCTTGAAGTTGACCTGACCGACCTCCCTTGTTAAAGTGGAATGCAGAATCAGATTCAGTTTATGTTTTGCCCCGATTTGTTTAAGTCATCACCTCTGTTTTATTATTCAATAAAAATTTTAGTATTTTTCAGGATTTTATGAATAATTGATTTTAAGATAGTGGCTTATTTTGCCATTTTCCTCAGCATCACCGAAACAACACATTCCACTGAATGATGGGCTCGGGGAGGCGGAGGGCACATTAGTGTGTGGCACTTTTCAATTTGTCTGTCACTGCAACTTTGGGAAGTAGTGGTGAAGTTGTCTTTAGTGAGCTATTCCTAATGTTTGATGTATTTTCTTGCCAGCAGAGGAGTTGGAGACCAAGGTTGATGCCATGTCTTTGATGAAGATGCACTGATCCTGGTAGATCCTGCCAAAAGGGGGAGCTGTATTGCTTTCTCATCTGCCAAAATTTGTGGATAGGTAGCGCGTGTGGGTGTGTGTCTGTGCACACGGACAGGCAGGGGGACTTTGTCCAATTATCATTCTGAAATTACACAGGGTCACACTGCATTACTGGAGTCGCTAAACCACACTTTTCGTCGAGCCTCGTCCTTAGCTGACTTTGACACAGCATTAACACAATGCATACAATTAACACATTTTAATGACCATGTCGCTAATTAAAAATAAGCTTTATGAGTCGCAAGCATTCATCATCAACTGTGAACTGAACCCAGTGTGGGTGTGTTTGTGTGTGTCCTCTGTGGGTTTTAATCTAAGTCTGTCACCATCATCTGCCTGTGAACTTTTTCCCGTCTTTTTTGTCTTTTGGCATGATTTCTAGCGCTGCCTGCATATAGGGTTGTATGCAGAGGAATGTTGTGCTTACCCTGCAAACACAGGTCATTTTCATTCTGGCCCACGGCAGATGGGATAGCAAGGACAACAATAAATTGTGGCTTTACATCTTGTTTTCACAGACAAGCAGCAAATTATCTCTAAGTCCCAGCAGCAGTGTGCTGTGAGGTTCCTCCAAGAGCCAACATCCATCTCACTTCAGCCTGCCTGCCTGTCTTCTTCTCTGCTCTCCAGTGACTGCTTTGCTCCTCGCCAATCCTCAGTGTGTGTTTGAGTCAAAGTGTGTGCATGTTTGCGTCTGATCTCTTCAGATTGCTTGCCCCTGGCCTGTCTTATTGTGATCGAGCTCCCCTCCAGGAAAACAAGCGGCTCTTGTAAGGAGAGGAGAATATTACTTTCTTTAAATGTAGTAATGAAGTGAGAATGGAGACCGGGAGGCCGTCTTGCAACCCACACATGCACACGACATTATAAAATATGGCTGTAGCGCACTGGTTTTTGAATTCCCATTATGAAGCCTTGAGTGGAGTGCTTTTACTGTTGCTATGTTGGTGAAAATCCCTAAAAAGCCTTCAGTTGATTCAAAATGTTACAGTGAGAAAAGGACTAGAAAGAGAGATCACATTTTTCCCATACTGGCTTCTATTCATTGGCACCCTGTGATATCCAATTTTGAATTTAACTGAACACTACTGCTGTCATTACCTTTTTCCTACTCTCTCCCATAGTTTAATACTTTTGTCCTTGCCTCTATGCACTGCTTTTCTATATTCTTTTTACCCTCATCCCCCAAATGGTTGCAGAACATAGACTATATTGCCAAAAGTATTCACTCACACATTCAGATCATTGAATTCAGGTGTTCCAATCACTTCCATTACCAAAGGTGTATAAAATCAAGCACCTAGGCATGCAGACTACGGCTGTATCCCAATTCAGGGTCTGCAGCCTTAAAGGCCGCATTTTAAGGCCAATTACGTCACAGTGACACGACGAAGGCTGTCCCAATTCAAAGGCTGCTCGAAATGCGGCCCTCAAATGCGTCCTTTATTTCACTGAATTTTAAGGACGTGGCGGTGTAGACTTCATGGCCCAACATATCCCAGAATGAATAGCGCAGCGGTGGGTGTGGATAATTTTGCCGGTAAAAAAAAAACAGCGGAAGAGGGGCGCCCGAAGAGTAAAGCTTTAAAAGTAAGTACTGAATATTATGTCACTTATTTATGTGCGAATGTTTAATAACAAAGAACATTAAAACATTACTGTTGGCCACATGTCGGCAAAGTTATGTGACATTAGCGATGTTTGTACTAACTTGGTTTTAAAGCCTTTACTTTAAAATATACGCCGTTCAATAGTTGACGTAAATCTTACAGAGAATGTGATGATTTTATGGATGTTTAAAGTAGCACTGAGACAAATTTAGTAATGCCAACATATTAAAAGAACAATATTTGTCTCTCATGTATATAATACATTTATATATACAGTGTCAAAGGAACCTGTCTTTGAGTGAAGATTTAAGGTGACAGGAAATATAAATAATATAAATAAATGCAGCTTTACTGAAGCTCAGTATTTGAAACAGAGTTCATTCACTGCTGTAATAACTAATAATGATTGAAATTATAACTTTAATATTGGCCATATTATATTTACATTACCAAAGTGAGATGACTTTAGTCTCATGAACAACATTAGCTAATTGTTATTTACTAGCTAATCTTAAATGACTGTTCAGTACAGAAGTGAAGCCCAATAATCATGATTTCACAGTCCTGTGGTCTCAGCCTCAGATACTTGTCAAATCAAAGCTAACGTAGAAACAAACGAACAAATGAACAAAAGATTTTCTCCTTCATTCCTGTCAAACAAAGCTGTATGAAACGTTTCCAGCTGTTAGTATCATGGTTGCTAGGCAACCTGGGCAGCGCGACGGAGGCTAGACCTTCCCATTTCACAAGCCTCTCACTTCTGGCCTTAGCGGTCTTTGAGTATGTGGCCCGTGTGGACCGTTAAGGCTGCGTACTTTAAGGCTGCAGACCCTGAATTGGGATACAGCCTACTTCTACAAACGTTTGCAAATGAACTATAGGATGTCACCTGTGTAACAGGTGTGGACGTGACTGCAAATGACAACAACCCAGCCAAATCACAGAGCAGGGTCACCAAATGATCACCATTTGGTCACCATTTGTAGCAACTGACTTCTTTGGAGTCAGTCGCTACAGAACTCTTATTGCTTCAGCATACCAAAACATTTTGGACAATTCCATGCTCCAAACTTTGTGGGAATAGTTTGGGAATGGCCCTTTCCTCTTCCAACATGACTGCACACCAGGTCCGTGAAGACATGGATGAGTGAGTTTGGTGTGGAAGAACTTGATTGGCATGCACAGAGTCCTGACCTCAACCTGATAGAACACACTTGAGATGAATTAGAATGGCGACTGCGGCAGGCCGTTTGGTCCACCAGTGTCTGATCTTACCAAAGCGCTTCTGGAAGAATGGTCAGGAAGTCCCCAAAACATACTCCTAAACCTTGTGGAAAGCCTTCCCAGAAGAGGCGACGTTGTTATAGCTGCAAAGAGTGGGCCAACGTCATTTTGAACCCTGTTGACTAAGAGTGGGATGTCACTCAACATCATAAGCATGTGAAGGAAAATAAGCAAATACATTTGGCAGTATAGTGTAGCTGTCCCTGCTTGAGATACGTTTGTTCAGACAGTTCTTTCTTCCCACTGTCACCAAGTGCTGTGGCTGACAGTCATACCACCCTGAGCGTGCCCACTCTCATCTGATCTCAGAAGCTTAACAGGGTCTGGCTTGATTAGTACTTGGCGGCTGTAGCTCAGGAGTTAGAGCAGGTCATCTACTAATCTGAAGGCTGGTGGTTTGATGCTGCTCCAGTCTGCATGCCAGAGTATTCTTGGGCAAAATATTGAACCCTGAGTTGTTCTGCGATGCATCCGTCAGAGTGTGAATGTTAGATAGAAAGCATCTTGTATAAAGTGCTTTGAATGCTCAAGTAGAGTAGGAAAGCGCTCCATAAAAACTCATCCATTTACCATTACGAGACTGTCTGATTATTGGGGTTTTCTTTTTTAGCACTGTAGGCTTTTACCTTACAATATCACCTTCAGGTGACTGTTGATGTAGCAATGTATGAATCAAACTGAAATCAATTAAATGGGCTAACTATATCTCACTTGCTAATTTTATCAGAACCAAAGTCATCTTTTCAAAATGTTAATTGGCTAGTTTGCTAAATTGCCAGCTAACATGAGTCTAACAATTGCTTTTTTATATAGTGGAAGCCAAATGGGAGCATTTAGCCAACTAGCTGAAGCATGCACATATGCCTGTATATGTACTGATACTGGACAGTCTTATGTTTGTCTCATTACTCTTTTGGACGATGTTTGCAAGTAAAACAAAACACAAACAACAGATAACAATAAGAATTATATTAACAAAGTTTTTCTGGGGTTACATGGAGCTCGTTTGGAAAGAAA